ATAGGTTAAGAGGAAAGACACAAAACAAGCTCTCCCAAGACAGTTCTGAGTTCCTGTCATGTGAAATTTCTAAGAAGCCTCACTCAGGTACTGTGAATGACATGGGCAGACACAAGACTTTGATTTTTACTGTCCTTGCAGTGAGCAGTCAGCTTGTGGCCTTAAAAACACAACTCCAAGAGGCCTTTTGGACTTTTGGCTGGAGTAGCAGTGGCTCCTCATCATGCCCCAACACACCACCCAGTCTGTTCCACAACTCCACCCCTGTTCATGGGAGCTTTTCCTAAAGTATTGACCACAAAAAACCAGCTTTTGGGCAAGTCCCACTGCTCAGAGGCAGCGCACAGGCCCTGTTTTGGCAAAGTTCAGGCAGCTCCATCAGAAACACCTCCAGCTCCATCCATCCCACCTCACACAGTGCCTACAAGCAGCCAAGATAAGACCTCTTCTTCTCCAGGGATAAGCAGCAAAGCTGCTGTTCCCAGCTCCTATGTGGTGAACAACACCTACCATGCCAGTATGGAATGCACAGGGAGAAAGGATGTGCCAGGAAAGATGAGCTCATTGTAAAAATAATTGAATGAGCTTTTAAAGGAATCAATACAAAGCCCTGGCTGGATTCACTTGTGCAAATGCTAGCAGCAAGGCACCTCCCCACCACACAAGGGCTTTTCTGTATGCTCCTTTTTATCAATTTGTCCTTGATTTTATCCCTTTTTTTGTCTCTTTGTGCCACCCACCAGACCTTGCACTGAGTACCCTGGAGTGTGTCGTACTCCACAAACACCAAGGAAAAGAGCTTTGAGCACAGAGCAGCAGGGATGATGCAGAGAAGCTACAGGCAGTGGAAACAGGGACAGGGAATCACAGAAGTATTTATTTTGGCCAAGGAGAAGTGACCTCTGGAGCAAACCCCAGCTGCCACAGATATTCTCACTGCCAGCTCGGCTGACGCAGTCCAGAGCCAGGCGCTGTGTGCCTGAGCCTCCCATGCACACGTTCCTGGCTGGCTGGAGCCTCTGCACCCCATGGATCACCTTCTCCATCACACCCCATGGATCACCTTCTCCATCACACCCCATGGATCACCTTCTCCATCACTCCCCATGGATCACTTTCTCCATCACTCCCCATGGATCACTTTCTCCATCACACCCCTTGGATCACCTTCTCCATCACTCCCCATGGATCACCTTCTCCATCACACCCCATGGGTCACTTTCTCCATCACTCCCCATGGGTCACCTTCTCCATCACACCCCATGGATCACTTTCTCCATCACTCCCCATGGATCACTTTCTCCATCACACTCCATGGATCACTTTCTCCATCACACCCCATGGATCACCTTCTCCATCACACCCCATCCCCAGGTGTTGTTGTGCCACATCACCACAGGTGGAGGAACTGCCTGGTTTTTCCGTGCTTGACAGTGAAACCCCTCTGCCTCTTCAGGGCAACACATTCCAACACTCACTGCTTGGAGGGACAGTCAGGGATTTGCTCTGGCATGTGTTCCCCACGGCTATCCCATCCTACCAGCAGAGCCCTTTCCAAAGGCATTGACACTGGCCCACAGGGCTCATCAATGACACAAGTTTGTGACAGACCCCTCTCATGGTGAGCCATCATGTCAGATCACCAGCTCATCCCCCTGACACCATCCAGCTCCTCCCAATGCCACCCAAGTTCAGGCTGCCCACCATTGCTTGGTGCTGATCACACCCGCTGGCATGAGGAGGGGCAAGGCCTCCTCAGAGCACAGCAGTGGCAATTCATCCCTTGTCATGATTTCTAAGTTTTCTTCTGCCCATTCCCTGGTTCCAGGCCTTGGACACACCAGATATCACCATTCCCTGAAACAAGAAGTTCCCTGACCTCCTTTTCCCTCATCACTAATTCACACCGAGCAGGTTTCAGCTCAGCTCATGCATGAACTCCACACTGGCACCACTTAATGGCTAAAGAACGAATTCTGACAAAGCTCATTAAAAAAGAAAGCCACTGATGTCAGCAGCATGCCTTAAACCTGACCCTCAGCTCCAGGCAGGTCTGCCAGGAAATCAAGTCATCCTGCTGGAAATACAAAGGGAGAGCAGAAAATGATCAGCACGGTTTGGAAGGAACCTCATTTGTTGTTACAGACGTGAAGCAGATCGAAGACACAAGTGAGGGACACCAACCAATTTGACTGTTCAAACAATTAAAACCCACCTTGCAGATTTACAGGTGGGCTCTCAAGACAATTCCAGATGCACTGATGGGCCAGCTTTAGGGGATTTATGCACAGCTCACCTCAAAACACAGGGAACCAAAATCCCAGGAATGCTCCTGGTGCTGTTTTGGTTGTAACAGACACAGACATGTCAGCACAGGAAGAACGAGCTGGCAGAAGGGTTGGGACTGAGGTATGAAAACAAAATTCTCTGGCAGGGTTCATTTCTGTTTTTTCCTTAGGAAAACAAGATCCTCACCTTAAAAGGAGGATCAGTCATAGAAGGGGGATGAAAAGGCACTGTTGAAAACTTAATTACATCCCCAGGTACATGTCCAGCCCTAGAAAGTTCTGAATGACACATTTCTAACAACGTTTTTAAATAGCTGGGAATCACTGATCACTTCTGTTCATAGTTTTTTTAGGAGCTACACAGTCCACATTTCATCACAATAATTAGGGAGATGCTCAATTAGTGTTTGCAAGCTTCTAAAACAGAGAGGTTGCAGATTGCATCTGTTTTGCATCTAGAGTTTGGGACAGTCAACCCCAGAAACCAGTGTGACAGAGTAAAGCTATTTGGAGGAGTCTGTCCTTCCTCAGACTGGCTGTGGCAAAAAGACACTGTCCAAAAATACGGTGCAACAGCTTTTCTCACTGCCAAAATAATGGGTGCTGGGTGCTCCTAGGGTTTGGCACTGAAACAAAGAGGGGCTATTTGTTGAGGGCAATGCCCCTCTTTGGTCTCCATCCTCAGGACACCTCTCAGTGCTCCCAGCACCCTCCCTGGGTGGGCTCATGGGCACAGACCCCTCAGCCAGCAGTGGCAGAGCATTGGAGAGCTGTGAGCAGCACCAGGCACCTTGTGCTTCACACACTCTCCTCCTCAGCACAGATGGGGACGCGCAGTGACACGCAATAAAAAATAAAAAGCCTTCCCAGGGAGATGCAAAAATAATACTATGTACATTCCAGCTTCCCAAACAACAATCGCCTGAGAAGCCGGCACTGTGGGAAAGTCTCAGTTCGCTTTTCCTGGGCATTATAAATAGAATCAGGGCTTCAAGCAGGGCTGGAAATGCGAAGGAAGGGGGGAAAGGCCATTTAATGGGCTCTGTTTGAACTTGGGCCCTGGCTGATGTCCAGCTTTCTGCAGAACATCTGGTCCTTTCCTGCCGAGCCAGGGGCAGCGCCGCTGCACTGGGAACTGGGAAGCACCAGCCCAGGGATGCTTGTGAGCACCCAGAGCCCACTGGGGCTGGCACCCCAGGCTGCTGCAGGTGCCACTCAGGAGCTGCCTGTGCCGTGCCCAGGTGTGAGACCCTGCAGGACTCCAACCCTGGGGCTGGGCTGGCAGCCACAGGGACTCCAGAGCTTCTCTTCCAGAGGGATGCTCAGTCCCTGACCCCACGTGAAGGTTCAGCACCCACCAAGATCTCTTGCAGGACTGAAGCCCACAAGTTCTTCCATGCGCCTGGCTCTCCAGGAGCCTCATCTTTGGCTGTGTGACTTCTTTTCTCTCATGGATACATTGCTCACCAAAAGCCCTGCAGAACCCTGTCATGGGCAGCTCCACATTCTGTTTTCCATGTGTTGAATCTTGACACTGGCTCCTACTTACCTGTTGTATCCCAGGCCACATTTTATGCACCAGCAACATACTTTTAAGCAGGATATAAAATCATCATGTCAGGAGATGGTTTGGGTTGGAAAGGACCTTAAATCCCATCTAGTTACAACCCCTTTGCATGGGCTGGGACACCTTCCACTATCCCAGGTTGCTCCAAGCCTTGTCCAACTTGGCCTTGGATACTTCAACAGATGGGGCAGCCACAGCTTCTCTGGGCAACCTGGGTACCAGGGCTTCCCCACCCTCACAGGGAGGAATCTCTTCCCAATTACCTCTGCACCAGTGGCTTCTTCTAAGTGGCTCTGCTACCCATTCCCTGGCCCTGTTCCCCAACCTCTCCTCCCACCACCTGTGGCCCTGTTCCTGCCTGGGCCTTGTCACTATCCCAGACCTGCCCCACAGGGGTGTTGGGGGAGAACCGGGAGCCCCAGAAGAATGGGGAGTCTGAGCGGAGCTCCGGGAATCCATGGGGAGAACCAAGACCTAGGAGATAAACGGGAGCCCAAGGAGAGCAGGGAGCTGAGGGGAAAACTGGGACCCTGGGAAGAACTGGACCATGAGGAGAGCCAGGAGCCTGAGGGGAGAGCCGGGACCTTGGGGAGAGCTAGTCCATGAGGAGAGCCAGGAGCCTGAGGGGAGAGCCGGGACCTTGGGGAGAGCTAGTCCATGAGGAGAGCTGGGAGCCTGAACGGAGAACCAGGACCCTGGGGAGAACCAGATCATGGAGAGCCAGGAGCCTGAGGGGAGAGCCAGGACCCTGGGGATGGCCAGGAGGAGCCAGAGGGCAGAGCCGGGGCCCTGTGGGTGACTAGGAGGAGCCTGGGCAGAGCTGGGGCCGTGTGGGTGACCAGGAGGAGCCTGGGCACAGCCAGGAGTCGGGACAGAGCCGGGGCCCTGTGGGTGACCAGGAGGAGCCTGCAGCAAGCCAGGGCTCACAGGCCCGCTCCCCTCAGCCCCTCCAGGAACGCAGCAGGCGCGCGCCCCCGCGCGGGGCGGTGACGTCGCGGGGCGGGGCGAGGCGGGGGCGCGGCCGGGCGCGCGCCTTTGTTTGGGGCGGCCGTTCCAAGGCTGCCCGCGCGCCGCGGGGCGGGGCCGAGGGCGGGGCCGGGGGCGCGCGGCGCGGGGGGCGTGACGGCGCGCGGGCCCGCGGGGTCAGTCGGAGCGCGGCGCCGAGCGGAGCAGGAGGGGATAAGCGGGGCACAGCCAGCCGAGCACCAGCACCAGCAGCGCCGATAGCCACCGTCAGCCGCACCGGAACGAGCGCACCATGATAAACACCCAGGACAGGTGTGCAGCGCGCTCCCCGCCCTCCCTCGCTCCTCAGCGCGGCGGCGGCGGGCGGGCCTGGGGCGCGGGCGGGCGCTGAGGCGGCGGGGAGGCCGCGGGACGGGGGAAGGCCGCTCCGCCTTTTCTCGTTTAAAATCCCCATAGAGGCGTTGCTTCCCCCCGGAGGAACCCCCCGGGGGTGGGTCTGGGCTCGCCAGGGCTTGAGCACCCCTCGCTGGGCAGCCCCGGCCGCGGTGGGGTCCGAGCGCTCCCTCCCCGCGCCCCCCGCGCCTCGCTCAGCCTGGAGGAAGGTGCTTTTCCAGGCACGAACTTGCAGCATCTGTGTGTTTTTCTCAGCTGACCGATCTATCTTGTGTGTGTGTTCCTTGTTTGGAGTCCCCAGAGTGTCATTTCCTGCGCCCCTGTGGCCGATAAGAGCCCAGAGGATGCGTGTGGGGCAGCCTCGGTTCTTGCCCTTTGCCTGTGTGGGAGATGCTTGAGCTGTGCTGTGTTCATCAGATGGTTATTTACAATTTAGTCCTCAAATCGGGCTCCTGGATATACGTCCAGCAATAATAATAGTAATAATCAATTTTACTACTATTGTTGTTATTAGTATTATTATTCAGGTGCAGCTGCATCTCCAGCGCCTGTTTAGGGAAGGGGCAGAAAGGAAAACAAACAAAACAGTCATTTCTCCAACGTCAGGAGAGCTCTCTAGATCCTTCCATCTGGTCTAAGTGTTCCAAACAAATGAAACCCCCAAAACACAAGGAAATGTGTCGATTTCAGCCCCTGGTGGTGCTCCCAGCCTGGCTCTGTGTGCCAGGAGCAGCGATGATGGGGTTTTGAAGTTGTTGAGCTGCCCTTTGCACTTCCCAGGGACAGGGCACGGGCTTGGGATCGCTGGGAGCTTAGTGAGTTAAAATTACACCCGCGGGATGAGAGCTGAGAGCTTAACATCGACTTCCAGCTCCCCTTTCGGGCAGGGCACAGAGGAGGAGTTCCTCCACGGAAAGGCCTTGGTGATCTAAATGCATCCTTATTTCTACCAAGCAGCAGGAAAGCAGCTTCTCCAAGGAGGACAGACGTCAGAAGGGAGCACAAGCCTAACTTTTAAGCTACAAGCAGACGTCGGGGAGAGTTTGTGCGAGGATGGATGTAGGGATCAGATGCTGTTTGCATGAATTTCCTCCCAGTGAGCTGAAGCACAGCTGGAGAAAGCAAAAGCCCTTTTTTGCACTCTCTTCCCTGAGGGTGCTGCTCTCAGAACCCCAATCCTTGGTGGGGTCGTGGTGGTGTGCAGGGACCCCGATTTTGGGGGAGGATGGTGGAGGTGTACAGGCAGCAGCTGAAGGGGGCTGGTGTTTTGACTTCTGCATGTGCCAGAGGAAGTGAAACCGGGAAGTGTCTTTGGCTGCCTCTCTGTTTTAATTTTTTTTTTTTTTTTCCCACAACTCCACTTCATTATCCAGTTTCTCGATGCCTTGGCCGCAAGTTGCAAAGAGCTATCAATAGTACATTGTTGGCTGGAGGCTAGAGGGAGGAGGGAAGGGAATAACAAAGCTGCCAACAGCTTTCGGGGGTGGGGACGGCACAAAGTGCTTTGTCATCCTCTCGACATCCTCTACTACTGAGCACACACTGGCCCATTGATAGCCCCAGGCACAGCAGGGAGCACACAACACCCTGCTTTGCTCCCAGACATCTCCTGGTGTATTTAAACTGCTTTTTCTCCAAGAGCTGCCTGCTCTAGCACATGGCAATGCTGCCCCAGTGCCCCTCTAGCAAACCTGGGGGAGGGAGTATGTGGAGGAAAATATCAGTGTTTCCTTTAGAAAGATGGCTTTGGTGGTGCGTGGTAAGCAGAGATCCGTGGTGAATTCTGCCTTGTGCGTTTGTGAGTTGTTTTTGGCACTCAGAAATGCCAACCTGTAGTAGTTTGTTTGCAGCTGGCACAGGCAAGTGACAAGGCCGGTTGGATGGGGCTTGGAGCAACCAGGTCCAGTGGAAGGTGGGACTGGGAGGGCTTTAAGGTCCCTCCCAGCCCAGCCCAGACTGATTCCCTGTTTCTGTGCATCTGAGGTGGTTCTGACAGTGCAGCTCTGTTTGGATACTTAAGCCTGTCTGCCTCGTGGACAGGGATTAGAGTGGAAAAACACTGCATTGGGAATCACTTCAAGTGAGAAGTTTCAGGGCAGACAGTGGCTGTCAGAACAGCTGCAGAATTTATCCTCCCAGCCTCATTGCTGGCTCTGTGCTCACAAACCCCCCCTCAGTGTGTTGTTTTGGTGGTGCCTCCACAGCTTTGTGCTGCTGTGTTTCAGAATGGCAGCACTGGGAAGGGCTGTGCTAAAGGAACATTGCTGGGCCTCAGCACAGAGCTGTTGTGGTGCTGAGAGAGGAACCAAGGCTCCAGAAGTAAAATAATTTGCTTTGATGAGCTTCCTAAAAACCAGAGCAGCTATTAAAGTGTCCAAAGCAATTCTGGAGGACTGTGTGTAGAACTTCCAAACAAACCTGGAAACTGCAAAGGAAATGTGTTTTCTTGCTGTTCAAAGTAGTTCCTGGGGTGAACTTGTAATTTTTAGGGTGGGGTGGAGGATGCTTGCATGGTGCTTCATGTGTGTGTGAAAATATTGCCATGGATGTTGTGGAGCATACTGAAGAACCAACCCTTTCACTTCTCCTGGCTTTGAAAATGTGAAACTTAAACCTTCTCCTCCTAGGCCCTGTTGATCTATTTGTAGATATTTGCCTCTAGAAAATGTGTGCTCATCTGGTCATGTGTTCCCAGCCATCTGCTCCTGGCAGCCTTCCAGGTCTCCCTTATTAGCATGAGGTTGCTCAGCACTCTCTGGGTTCCTGGCTCTGGCCCCTCCTCTATTCCCAACAAAACACCCTGGGGGTTCTGGTGCCACTGGGACAGTGGGTGGTTTCTGTGCTGACACCTGGGTGCTGTGGAGGAGCAAGGATACAAATGATGTGGGGGTTTGAGCCTCCAAAACACGATGCCTGCTAATGTAACGGGGTGTTGTCTCTCTGTTTTTCTTGCAGTAGTATTTTACCTTTGAGTAACTGTCCCCAGCTGCAGTGCTGCAGGCACATCGTTCCAGGGCCTCTGTGGTGCTCCTGATGCCCCTCACCCACTGTCGAAGATCCCCGGTGGGCGAGGGGGTGGCAGGGATCCTTCTCTTTCAGCTCTGATTTATAAGGTGAGATACATTTAACCTCTAAACATTCACCTGTGCCTCTGTTACAGCTCTACAGTCTGGTGGGAATAAATGCAAAGAATTCCGAGATAATAAGTGGGAGAACAGGTAATTGTTCAGGTCTCTGCTGCTTAAATATCACCTGTTTATTAAGAAATGAGAGCCCATTGTGCAGCAGATCATTCACCAGGCTGTCCCCAGGGGCCTGCTGCAGCTATTGTATGTGGAGCCTGCATTATCAGAACGTGAAAGGGGCTCTGAAATGCATGGCAGAGAAAGGAAGTGAGAAGCAGAAAGGTGAAATGCAGCAAGGGAGGGTTGATAAGCTCCTTGCTGCCCCCTGCTCTGGAAGGTGAAGCTCTCAGGGCCTGGGAGCTGCCTGAACCCAGGTGCAGATGGGAGAGGCAGCTCCCAGACAGGGCTGTTCCTGGAACATGAGCACAGGCAGGGCAGGATCAGCAAGGGTTTGTGTCTGCAGGCCTGCAGCTGTCTCATTTTGTGTTCCTCCTCATTCCACGGGACCTCTCCTTCCCAATGAGGAGACCTGGCTGCTCCTTCCTGTGGAGTGATTTGTGTGCCTTGGCTCACAGCTCTCTCCTTTCTGGGACAAGGGCTGCTTTTCCTTGCAGATGAGGCAGGCTGAATTTCTGCTGACCCTGCAGATTTGGCTGTTGTCAGAGGTGTTAGACTTGATTTTAATTAACCTGTGGGCGGCACACAGACGTCACCTGATGGAAAGATACAGACCCTTTTGGGCCACAGCTCCCAAAGACTCCCTTGGGAGTTCCTGAGAGAATCACAGAGCTCCTGGTTGCTCTCAGAGTTTCCTTTGGTGAGTTTTCAGCACTTTCCTCACCTTGCAAAATATCAACCTCTGAGCCTCCAGTGATAAGATCCCATCAGTTTAATGCTCAGGGTGAATTGTCACAGATGTTTGGGGGTACAAACTCCAGAGAAGCTGCACAATGGGCTTTCTTCACAGAAGGAAGATACAAAAACAGCTTCAGGTGGGCTCAGACAAATAATGAATCCCCTCTGGGTGAGAAATGGGACCTTGCAGCCTGAACTCCACCCAGCTTTGCCAAGCCTTGTGTGTGCACCAGGCAAGGCCCAGAGGCAGAAAATGGGCTCAGCATGGAGGAGGAAGGTGGAAGGAATCATGATTTGGGGACTTTGGAGAGTTTGATTCCAGTACAGCCCCAAACTTGCACAGATTTTGGCAGTGGTGTGTAGGCAGGGGGGGTGTCATCCAGATAGCTGCATCCCAGAAGTATGGATGGAATTCCTCCTGGATTTATTGTTTGACAAAAACTAGCAGAATCTGTCAGAAAATCAGCCCCTTCTGTAGCAAAGAATCATGGAATAGTTTGGGTTGGAAAAACCCTCTAAGGTCATTGAGTCCAGCTGTTCCATCAGCACTGCCCATGTTCACCACTAATCCATGTCCCCAAGTGCCAAATCCACAGGGCTTTTAACCCCTCCAGTGATGGTGATTCCACTTCTCTGGGCAGCCTCTGCCAGGCCTGGACTGTCCTTTCAGTGACAACATTTTCCCTAATACCCAACCTGCTCTGGCCTGCAAATGGTTGAGGTAATTTCCTCTCATCCCACCCCTTGTTCCCTGGGAGCAGAGCACGACTCCCCCCTGGCTGCCCCTCCTGTCAAGGAGCTGTGGAGAGCAACAAGGGCCTCCATGAACCTTCTTTTGTCCAGGCTGAGCCCTCCTAGCTGCTCCTCATCAGATTTGTGCTGCAGCCCCTCAGTGTCTGTGCTGGAATGAGGGGCCCAGAAGTGACCCCAGGATTTGAGGTGTGTCACACCTTGGGGTGGTGACTGGATTCTGGTCACCTGCTCAGTCTGGCAGTGCTGCACTTACAGCAGCTCAGCTTTCCAGCCAGCATGACCTGCAAAGGCATCTGGATCTGAAAGTTTAAGTCCTTTTTCCAGCTGTATCAGCTGTTCCAGTCCAAGGGATGACCTTTCTCAACACACCTGCCTCTGCCAGCAGCACTCAGATACACCATTGCCATAAGTTTGGGATCATTTTAAATGTTGGAATTTTTGTGTTAAGAGACTTTAAGCTCAGCTCTCCATCCAGGGAGTCTTGCTGGAGGTGGGAATGCCACAGTGAGTGGTGTGGGTGCTGCACAGCTGAGATGTGCCCTGCAGGTGCAGCACAGGGCAGCAGTGAGGGCTTCCACAGCTTTCTGCAGCCCCTTGGCCAGAATGGATTTTAACATCCTTCCTCTGACCCTGCCAACACACCAGGGCCTCCCCTCATCCTTCCTGGGACATCTGAGGAGCAGAGCAGGGCTGGGAAATCTTGTGTTTGGTGAATTGGAACCAAGTGGAAGTGCTCCTTGCAGCTTTGCTCTGCTGAAATGGAGCTGCAGGGCTGGGGAGCCAGGGTGTGGGCAGCTGAGTAAAATCCACTCTGGTGGCAGAGGGTTTTGTCCACAGGAACGTGGCAGGGGGATTTTCTGTGGGGATTTTTCCACGGTGAGCTAAAACCAAGTGCTTGTTGTGTAAACAGGATTTTGCTTTGAGCAGCTTCCAAAGAATTTTGGGCTGTTGTTGCTGCAGCCCACAGAGTTTTTCTCTTCCCCAGCTCTCTGGATGCCTAGAAATAAAGTGTCAGCTGGCCCAGCCAGGCTGTGTAAACCTAATTCCCACTGAACCAGGGGAGCTGGTTCTGCTAATCCCTGTGGTCCTGTGCCTTTGGCTCCTGGGGGTTCGGTGGAACAATCTCACTGGGTTTAGGGCACTGGACACAACTTCTGGTGCCAAGGAAGTTCTGAACCAAATGGCTCAGAATGCTTTTCCCTTCACTATGGCAGTGCCACACCTCCCATGTGGCAATCCCAGCCTGCTTCCCTTACCTTCCTCACCCAGTTTGACTTTTGTGAGCATGGGAAGAGCTGTGAGTTTTTCTGGAGAGAAGGATGTTTTCTGGAACAGAAACGCTTTCTGCACTGAAACAAGACCTGTAAAGGGTCCTGTAAAGTCAATGCTGAAGGATGTACACATAAGCCCCTTGGATTTGTTTTTTGTAAAAATCTCTGTATTCAGCCCTGCCTCTCTCTACTGGCTCCATCACAGCCACAACTTGACCTCCTTGGAACAACTCTCAGTGCATTTCTTGGTGCACTCACCCACTCAGGCTTCCTTCAAACTCAATGAATAAACTTGTTTCCTACAGGATATTTATTCTGGTGAAGTGTAAGCTTGTTTTCCAGCTCAGCTTTGTGAGCTTTCAATGAAAGGCAACTTCCTCTGCTCAGCTTTCAGAGGCCAGGCAGCTCCCAGTTTGCCCATGGTATTACTTTGTCACCAGTGTCAGTGTCCTCGGAGGCTGCTCTGTCATACAGCAGTCAAACCAAGGGACATCCATTTGAAGACAGGAGGTAATAGGGATTAAAGCACTGGGACAGTGGCTTCAGGAGCCTGTAAGGAGCTGCTGAATGTTAAAATAAAATATCTGGAGGCTGGACAGTGCTCACCCAATGTCCCAGAGGAGTGAACCACTGCCCACCCACCTGCTGAGGACAGGGGACACATGGCTCTCCAGGTTTCAGAGCTGCCCAGGTGCCTGTGAACATGAGGGACACAGGAGCTGTCACCAAGCACAGGGGACATTCAGCTCCACTGCAGTAACAGTGTTAACTCTGGGCTCTGCTTCTTTCACTGGGGCTCTTTGCACTGAAACATGGAAATCATTACTGGGCAAGCCAAGTGCCTGCAGGAATTGTCTGAAGGAATGGGGCTTTAACCACTGAATTGTTTTCTAGGAACTGCTGAGCTGATCCCAAGTAATCTGCATGCTTGGCATCCTCATGGGGCAGGACTGGGGAAGGACATGTGCATTTGTGGTCTCTGGAGGAGACCTCCTCAGAAGCTTCAGATCTGCTCTGGAATTTCCCCATGCTCTGTGTTTTCCTCCCTTACACCAGGAGGCAAACCATAAAATCTGGGAAAGCAATTTGTGGTCACTCCTGGAACAGAAAGGCTGTGTTGGGGATGGGGGAGGCACCAAACCTGGCTGGGCTGTGGTAGCAGCAGCTCTGTGTTGGGTGTTTGGGTCCAGTTGTGTTCTTGGAAGGGCAGTTCCTGAAGCACCACCAGATGTGGCTGGAGCCTGCAGTGAGGGAGTGGAGTCTTCTACTCAGAAATTTAATATCATGTCAATATGTGAAATTACATTCCTTAACAGGAAAACATGGCTAGAAATCCCTCTGAGGGCTGAGAACTGTGTGATGTGTCCCCGAGCCAACAAAAGGAGAAGGGAAAAGCATAATCCTCTTCTCAGTAAAACCCTAAGACCATTCCTTTGCATTTGCTTTCTCCAGTTGTCTTCTGGCTGTTCAGGACATTACATTTTTCATTTTCCCAGGATGAGAAGATCACTGTTAGCCAAGATGTCCCAGTGCATGAAGGGAAGCCTCACATTGTCCACTTCCAGTACAAGGTCACAGAGGTGAAGACCTCCTCCTGGGATGCAGTGCTCTCAAACCAGAGCCTCTTTGTGGAAATCCCTGATGGATTATTAGCTGATGGAAGCAAAGAAGGGTAAGTTCTGCATCCCAAAGGTGCAGCCATGGCTCCTGGAGGGCAGGACTTGGATTACATAAGTGATTGTGGATGGACACCTCATCTCTGGAAGTGTTCCAGGTCAGGTTGAATGGAGCCTGGATCAACATGGTCTAGTGGAAAGCATCCCTGCCCATGGCAGGAGTTGGAATGAGATGTTTAAAGGTCCCTTCCAAACCAAACCATCCTGGGATTCCATGCTGTGTGTGGGGAAAATGGGCTGTGCAATAGCAGCTCTGCTTTCTGGTCTGTGCACATTCTGCTCCCTGGTCTGTGGAGTCCTCCACAGGAATATTTTTCCCCCCAGTGATATTCCAGATGAGTTACATTTTTTGAGTCCCAAGCCTAATGAAAAACAAGCAGTAAATGAGCAGAGTGAATCTTTGTATACTTTGGTATAGAAAGCCAACAAGATTTTCTCTGATATTTTATTACTTTTTAATTTTATTTTTCTGCTGGCCACTTGGCAAGCCAATCTTGGCAGATTTTCCTCTCTTTCAGGGAACTAAAAACCCCTCCATGCTATTGATGCTGTCCTCCTCAGTAGGTGGATCTGCTCTTGGAGCCCTGGTGCTGGGCTCTGCCAGGAGCTCTGATTTTTCTCTTGGCAGAATCCGGTCATGTTTTGTCCAGACAGCTCTGCTATGGGAAGTTTGTGTAAATGCAGCTTCCAGAGCAGCTCCTTCCTGCCAAGTGCTGTGCCAGAGGTCTCTGCTGCAGTGGAGATGTGGCTTTGCTGGATTCCTCAGCGCCTCCTAAATCTCCAAGCAGGCTTCATCCCTCAGTGACACGAGCTCATTAAGGAAAAACCCATGGCTGGGCACCTTCAGGAAGTGGCAGTGTTGTTGCTGTCTCACACTTGTCTCATTTGCCTCTGAGTCCAGATAAATGTTTGTGTAGTTTCTCCAGTTGGCCTGTAAATCTCTGGGCTCTCCCTGGAATGGGTCCTTCTGGGAGGGGATTTATTTGCCACTGTCATTGTGACTTAAAGCGCAATTTTGTCAGGTTATTTTTAGCTGGGTGAAACAGCCGAGGAGAGGCCAGAAGCCATAATTAAAGTAGTTCATTAACATATTAACAGAAGCCTTGCAAATTTAATCTCCTGCTCTGCGCTGACAGCTGGTTGCTGAGATGTGGAGTGAGTGAAGGCCTGTTTGTCACTGCTGTGGCAGCGCCAGCGGTTCCAAGTGACAGCAGTTGATCAGTGAGCCACCCTGGAGGCTGCAGAGGGGTTCCTGCAGCGCCGCTTCCATCACGAGGTGGCACAAACAATCCAGCTGGAAAGGCAGGAAGCGAGGATTCAGGGGGCAGCAGCTGTGCCATCCAGCTCAGGAAATGGCTTTGCCTGTGCACGTGTTCTCTGGGGATGGTTTGTTCTCCTTTTCTGCCTGCCACGAGCTCGGTGCTGGGTGGTTTTCCTTCCCAAAAAGCACAGAACTCCCAGAGCCCCCATGTGCATTGCCAGGGAATGCAGCCTGGCCTGGGAGCAGCTGCAATATTCCGCTTCCTGACCACGAAAGCTTCAGTCCCAAAGCACCACGGGTGGGGAGGGTGTTTGTGGCTGTGAGGACAGGAACTTATCCTGACTGGGAGCAAGGACAGCTCTTGAATCTGCAGGGCAGGAAGCCCATTGTTTCAGCACCCATTGTTCGCTGGAAGGGCGCTGTAAACAATCTTTGTGTCCGAAATCATCCAAACAGTTGATAATTTGATAATGCTCAGAGGCTTCCTCAGGACAGGACTTCCCAGAGCTCATGTCCTTTTGTCTTCTCCCTCCTTGGCAGGTTGTCAGCACTGCTGGAATTTGCTGAAGAAAAAATGAAAGTCAACTATGTCTTCATCTGCTTCAGAAAAAGCAGAGAAGATCGAGGTGAGGGCTGGTCTGTGCTCGGGTTTGCTCCTGACATCCCACACGGTGCTGCTGAGGCTGTAAAGAAACTTGGTCATCCCAGGGGACCCTCCCAGTGCAGGGATTGTTATGTGCATAATTCCTACAGGAATAGTTTTGTGTGGAGGGTAGGGGTGAGGCAGTGCTGTGGTTTCTCCAGCAGATGTGCTGGACAGGGCTTGGAGCAGCCTAGTCCAGTGGAAGTTGTCTCAGGCAGTGGGGTGGAATTCAATGAGCTTTAAGATCCTTTCCAGCCCAAACCAGTGTGGGATTCCATGGGATTCTGTTCATCTGCTTTGCTGCACTGCCATTAAATACTCTGGTGCAAAATGCTGCTCCTCAATGATTTGGGGTGATTTTTTTCATCCAGTGTCAGTTAATATTCCCCCTTTTGGTGAGCAGTGAAGTCTCTGTTTGGCTGCTGTGACATGGAAGGTGAAAGGGAGGAGTTACTAGACAGAAAACCAGCACTTAGAGCCTGTTGCCCTGAAATTCATCAGCTTTTTAAAGATCTGCTGGCACTTCTGTCCTTTCCAGGCTTACAGGTAATCCTGGCCCTAGCTTGAGATACTTATAGCTTTGGGGCTGCATTAGGGTCTAAAGATAGACGTGCTGGGTGAGGGATTACAGCCTGGGGGCTGGGGGATGTACCAGGCTGGGAACGTGTCACTGCAAATCCCACCAGAGCCAGGCTGTATCCCAGCCAGTAATTCCAACCCCAATTCTAATTTTACTCTGCAGCTTCACGAGCTGTCCCGGCTTCTCCGAAACGAAGGGCCTTAGTAAAGCTGAGCTGAGCCCAGGAAGATGTCATCATCCCTCATTACCATGCCAAGAATAATTTCCAAATCAAGTCCTGGCTGTTATGTCACCACTAGCACTGCTTGTGTAGGTGGCCCCTGCAGAGGGGGGACAGGGGACAGCCAATGCCAGGGGTTGTTTGTAGTTCTGGAGTGGTCAGATCCTGGGTCCTTGTCTGTACAGCTGGAATTCATTGCTGCCAGAAAACAGCTTCAGGAGCTCCTCTGTGTTATCACTCAGTGTCCTGGAGCTGATTGCCCCAGGGTGCCACAGGGTGGGACACTGCAGCAGGGTGACTGTCACAGGTCACAGGGCAGCCATTGCTTCAGTGACACAGGCAGGTCCACAGAACTGGATCTGTGTGGGCTGCCCCACTCGGAATTCCCACAGGCAGTGATCATGAGTGGCTTTCCTGGGGTCCCACCCCGACCTGTGCAGAGCTGACTGGAGTTTCCACTGAGCTCCAGCACCTCCTTGTGGAGACAGCAAATGTCACCCTTGTCCCCAAAGAGATTCCTCCTTGCTGCTGTCGGTCCTCTCTCGGTGCTCAAGGGGTGCTGGGCCTGGACAAATCCTCTGGGATGGCCACCCACATCCTGGGAAAACAGGGATGTGCAGCTGGTGCAGGCACACAACCAATGATTGCTGTTTCTCACAGGGGATAGAAGAAACATTGCAGGAGAAACATGGACAAAGCTGCTCAGCTGCACAGCTAAAATCCCTTGACACTCAGGAGCAGCTGCAGTGAGCACAGGAGGAGACAAAAACCCACAGCCTGCTGGGGAGGGCTGTGCTTGTCTGCATAGGAAGCTGTGGATGCACTCAGAGGGTGTCCCATGCAGTGATGGCTCAAGGGAGAGGTCAGGAGGGTTATTCCCAGTGGTAACACATCTCCTTGTCTTTGCCAGCTCCACTCCTGAAGACGTTCAGCTTCTTGGGCTTTGAGATCGTGCGGCCCGGCCACCCCGCTGTCCCGGCACGGCCCGACGTGATGTTCATGGTGTACCCCCTGGATCAGAGCTCTTCCTCCGACGAAGAATAGCTGCAGAGGGCAACTCCAGTGGGACCCTACCTGCTGTGGAGGGGAGAGAGGACCACCTCCTTTCCTGAGGAGAGGGAAGCAGAGCTTCTGTTGGACTGCAAGCGCATTTCTCATTGTTAGATTGGGCTGTGTACCCCCAGAGTTGACTCTCATTGAAACATGTTGCCTAGAGAACTATCTATCACACATGTAATCATCACTAGGAAAAGGAAGATGTTTATGAACTGGCATAGGAGCTCTTCCCATGCAGCTGCATGGTGTGGGAGCCCCGGGGTCGGTACCACCTTCGGGACTCCTCCGACCCCCACTGGTGCCGCCTGCCCGCCCAGCGTGGGCTCAGCTGGGACACGACCCCTTCATGTCCCACTCAAGACCTTACAAACAGCCTGCCTTGGTGTGGGGCCCGTGCAGGAGACACTCAAGTTTATCCTTTAACACTACATTAAACCCCCCATACATCTCCACTCCAATGCTGGTTTAACTGGTCTAACCTTTTTATTTTCCCTTTTTTTTTTTTTGAAACTTCTTGCTCTTCCAGCTTTTGTTTTACGCAGTCTTAACCCTGTTCCATGTTCCCACTACACTATCACAGCATTCAATAAAAGGGGCATTCAGATGAACTTGACACACCTGGGGCTGCTTATTTGGGAGGAGCAGTTTCCTGACCTGCACCATGCTGGCTGGGATGGTCCAGAGAGCCAAGAAAAGCTCCTGCCTTTACCATCCACCCCAGGATGGGTCTGGAGTAACCCCAAGCCCTCAGCTCTGCTCCTGCTCATCTTCCCACAGGGATGAGCTCAAGGCTTGAGATGCCAAACCAAAGGGTTGTGTGGGGGCAGGTGCTGGGATATTCTTCCCACCCAGGGGCTTTTGCAGGAAGGGGCATGGTGCCAGCAGTAGGTCATGGCTCACCCTGTCCCTGTACCTGGGCTGGCTCTCTCTGGCAGGGAATTGGGCTGTGCCCCAGGGCTGTGCCCTCAGCTCTTCCTGGCCTGGCTCCTTGTTGTGGGATTGTTCCTGTTGTGCCCTTGCCCTTCACAGATGATTCTACTGGGAAGCTGGACCTGCATCATTCCATATCCACCATGGTGAGTGGTTAGGGAGAGGTGGGGCTGGGATATGAGTGTGCGTGAATAAATAATCATAAATTTGGGTCTCTTGCCCTATTTCACCTGCATGAAGCCAAGAGGGAAAGGAGCTCTGCTCTTTCCAGCAGGGCATTAGACCCTCTACCAGTTTAAAATCAAACAGGCTGTCCTCTGAAGGAGGAGCCCTTGGGAATGGGTGCTCCTGGCTGAAACTGCTGAGTGCTGCTGCTGCCTTGAGAGGGGTGCAGTTTTATCCTTTCTTGTGGCTGGAGCTGCCCCAACTCTGGCCCAAGACTGGTGGGTGCCTCCTGGGTGTCCCTGCACGTGCCAGTGGCTGGCACATCCCAGCTGATGGGATGGGAACCACTTTGCTGCTTCTTACTGGTAAATTTGACTGGTAAAATGTAGGATCCTGGTCACAGGAGCTGCAGTGAGGCTGATCTGAGCTCATCATTGTGCTGGAGAGGTGAGGCTGTGCCACTGCATGTGCTCCTCTGACAATTTCAAATCCTCTCCTGCCCTGCCTCAAGTAAAGGAAGGCAAATGCGGATTTCCAAGATCACCAAATGCCTTCCAAAACCACCTCTGGAAAGTGTGGAAGGTGCTTCTGCCCTGTACCTCCTGAACCCTCAGGCCATGGTGTAGGGCAGGCCCTTGGTGCCCGGGGTTCAGCCCTAGGGGGTTCTGCCCCCAGTTACCAGCTCTGAGCTCAGCTGCAGCACCCACCAGAGCCATGAGTGCTGGGCAGAGGTGGATCCAGGGGTCAGAGAGCACCAGGAGCCTTCTCAGATGCCTGAGACAGGAAAATCCCCTCTCCCACCCCTAAAAATAACTGGCCACACTCTTTAGGGATAAAGGACCAGACTTGGGGGAACAGCAAGAAAAAGCCACCCTCACAGGTTTGTGATTGTCTCTTAAAAAGATTTATTCTCCCTCCTTGCCTAAATGTACAAAGGCAAGAAGAGTACAGTTTGTATATATATATATTTATATATATATATATAAAAAAACAAGGAACTTGGTAATAATGTACACTTTACAGAAGGGCAGAGTCAGGAAGACTGAAATGAAACCCAACACAGCAACGCCAATGGAAACGAGCTATAAACACCAACGGTCTGACACCGGGGCTGGGGGCAGCGGCTGGCCCAGAGAACCCCAAAAACGTCAAACCTCAAACCTATTCTGCAAAAACTGTTGTTTCATTTAACACCTAAAGGGAGACTCAACTGGGACCCAAGTGGGAAGGTGGGGAGCAGCCCCCCGAGCCCCTCCGCCTGCCAGCAA